ACGACCGCACCTGATCTGCCATGTCGACCTCGGGATACCACCACCAAGGCCGGCCTCGCCAACTTCGCCTGGGCGACTGTAGCACTCCTCCGCAAAACCTCGTCACCCAGGTAACCTGGTCGACCAGGCAACCATGTCGACCAGCTGCTCCTGTATGTGCTCGTCGACCTCCCAAGTCAACGACCACCCCAAGTCGACCTCACCAAATCGACCATGCCCCTAGTCGACGAGCTCCACGTCGACCAGCGTAGTCGTCAGCCGACCACCAAGTCGGCTACTTGAAGTCGGGACCACCAACACCCCAGACTGCGTCGGCGTCACCATTGACGCCCTACTACTCACTCCCACTGCTCGGCGTCCTAAGTCGAGGTCGACGTCGGCCCCTCCTCCGTCGACCACCAGGTCAGGTCGACCACTAGGTCAACATCACGCCTAGTCAACCAACCACCAAGTCCACCAGCAGTCTTGTCAGCCGACCACCCAAGTCGGCTGCCCCAAGTTGGCGTCACCAAGTCGACGCCCTCCGCAGGTCGACTTCCCAGGTCGACCTCCGTGAAGTTGGCGCCACCCTGAAGTCGGCGCCCGTGCAGTGTCCCCCGTGCAGGTCGGCCTCCTCGTCAACCAGCTCGCCCACTACTGCAGGACGGCTGATCCCCTCACACCCGACCACGAAGTCGGCTCCGCCCAAGCGAGTACGGGGCCAACACACAACTCCCGTTGACACCCCCCCCCCTCCCTTCCCTCTCCCCATTCTCTCTTCTTCTCTCACGTGGGAGCAGCCGCCCATGCCATTGGTGGGAGCCAGATAACTGCAGAACAAAAATCCGCCTTCCATTGCTGCCCTTGCACCCTACACTAACCCCCACGCCCCCCCCTATTACCCCCTTCCTTCCCTCTTCTTCTCTCACGTGGGAGAAGTGCCGCCCACGCCATTGATGGGAGCCAGATCGCTGCAGAACGAAAATCCTCCCTCCACTTCTGCTCTCACCCGATATTTGTGCTGAGGCAGAATGAATTGAGGGGGGGAAGGGGAGGGGATGATGGCGGGTGAGGTGGGGTGGGGAGGTGAAGGGGAGAGTGGTGATGCGAGATTCCCCTTCCTCTGCTGCTCCCACCCGGTACTTGTGCTCGGGCTGCATGAGAGAACCGAGGGAATTGGAAAGGGGTTGAGTGGGGGAAGGGGAAAGGAAGGAGTAGTGGTGAGGTAGAAGCTCCTTGCCACTTCTGTTGCCACCGGTACTTGTGCTCAGGCTATATTAATGCGACTTTTCAAAATTTTTTAAAGAAGCTCCCTGCCACTGCTGCTGTCACCCGGTACTTGTGCTCAAGCTGGGCGAAGAAAGGGGGGGATGGAAAGGGGGAGCAGATGGTGGCGGGAGGGGGAAGGGGGGGATGGAAAGGGGGAGCAGATGGTGGCGGGAGGGGGAAGGGGGGGTAGTGGTGAGGCCAAAGCACCCTGCCACTGCTGCTATCACCCGATACTTGTGCTCAGCACTTCTTAACTACCCTCCTAAACACCATGCTAGGGCATTACTAGTCATTGCTAGTGCAATGGTCCGTCCGCGATGGGGAAAACTCGGAATTGGCGTGGGTGTGGCGTCGCACATTTCGTAAGACAGATTCCCCGCGCCACTCCATTTCCTCCGCTGAATCTCCCCACCATTCCTTTTCGGGATCTGATTCTGGCTTCGAATCTCCTTGTTCCTTTTCTTCGGAAGCGCATCATCCTATGTCTGACTCAGATACACGTTTCATGCGGCTCGTCCCATCGTTCGCCCCGTCCTTCTCATAATTTCACGAAATCGTGTCGGAGTTCCGAACGGGTTTCGAAGCCACACTTCCTCCCCTTCCTAACAACATTATTGAGGTTATCATTAAGTACGCTGGCTATTATAATGTTAAGCAGACATCTTATAGTAGTGACAGGATGAGTGGTGGGGACTAGGAGGAGACTTTTGTGATTTCGCAGCTTAGACATTTTGGAAAGGGTCGGATTAAGGAGATTAAAGTTGACGCTGAAGCTCATGACCAAGGGTAAGTGATGTGTTGCCCGTCCACATCAACGTTTGTGATTTTTGTTTGTTTGTTTGTTTGTCGATCATTCAGAATTGTTTTGTGGTTTCAAAATGGCACCCCGTCTCCGATGTTTCAAAAGGATTTTCCTTGAAGTCGTTGTCTAAGTAAGGGGTCCTCTAACCGTACTCTGCACTCTACATGCACTCTTCTTGTATAGTCCTAATTTTGATTCCAGCCCACGACTAGTATGTGTTCAGTATTTTGTCAGCCCCTCCCCCTCCCCTTTCCTCCCCTCCCCCCCCCCCCCTTCCCCCTCCTCCTGATCCCCATCCCCTTCCTTCCCTGTCAAAACCATATCTGTGCTAGTTGTGTGTAGGCTATAGTGGGGTAGCCCATGTGGGGTACAACCAATGTTAGGGCTAGTACTTGTACCCACAATTCGTTCAATGCAATCATTCCTGCTTGCTATCTTGACATGGTTTCAGAGAAGTAGGTCCGTAGGACCCTTTTTTTTTCCGGGCCCACCATAATTAGCGACCGACTACGGTTACCGCGTTACCCCTACCACTACCCTGCGTCGTGCTGCCCCGTGCACGCCCTGCCCTGCCCCGCGTCGCGCTGCTTTGCGCACGCCCTGCCTTGCCCCGCGTCGCGCTGCCTAGCGTATGCCTTGCCCTTCCCTTCCTCGCGTCACCCTGCACCAGTGCCATGCCCTGCGCCAACGCCCTGCCCTGCGCCGGCGCCCTGCCCTGCGCCAGCGCCCTGCCTTGCGCCAGCGCCCTGCCCTACGCCAGCGCCCTGCCCTGCGCCAGCGCCCTGCCCTGCGCCGGCGCCCTTCCCTGCGCCAACGCCCTGCCCTGTGGTAGTGCCCTGCCCTGCGCCTGCGCCCTGCCCTACACCCTCGCTGCTGCCTTGCGCGCCGCGCCCTATGGCAGCCCGCGAGTCGCGCGCTACTACCCTGCGCTTCGCGCCCTACGGCAGCCCGCGAGTCACGTGCTGCTGCCCCACGCGTCGCGCTCTGCTGCAACCCGCGTGTCGCGCCCTGCTGCCCCGCGCGTTGTGCCCTACGGCAGCCCGCGAGTCGCGCGCTATTGCCCCGCGCGTCACGCTCTGCTGCAGCCCGCACGTCGCGCCCCTGCTGCCTGCGCATCGCGCCCTGCTACAGTACGCGCGTCGCGCCCTACTACCCTGCACAGCACGCGCCCTGCTGCCCGCGCCGCCCAGGCCGAGCCGAGCCGCCCTACCCGACCTGATCCGCCCTGCTGCTCGTGCTGCTGCTGCTGGTGGTGGAGGTGCTGCTAGGAGTGCTGGAGGTGATGCAGCCTAGCTTCACCGAGCCGCTCTGCTGCTCTTTCAGCTGCTGCTATTCCTCGTGTTACTGCCTTCACTCCGTACTGCCCTAGAGGCCGCGCTCCTCCTAGCTTGCCCGCCATGACTTCACTCTCTAGTAGCGGTGGGAGTGGTGACGGCGGTGGTGGGAGCAGTGGGAGTGGTGGCGGCCGTAGTAGCAGTCACTGTGGCGCTGTTTGGTGCGGAGTTTCTGGTGAAGGCCAGATGCAGCTACGGTGGCGTCCGACCCTTACGTCCCAGCAGCTTTGTGAGTGGCTTTACCTGCGTGGGACGTCTCCGAGTGCTGGTCGCTACCCGTACGTTATTCGCACAGGTCGTCGAGCTGGTCAGACCTGTGGGACGCCTGGTCACGCACAGTCCCGCTGCTTCGCCTATTTGAGTGACGCCTGGCACGCAGAGTTTGGCGACGAGGCTGAGCTCCCCCACTGGCTTGAGCTGCTTAGGTCGGGCGTTGATGTCTTTGCTTTGGACAATGACGCCATCCTTAATGCTATGTATCCTTTGCCTGGTGGTGCTGAGGGTGTCTGTTACCTGTGTGTGCAGTACGACCCCGGTATAGAGGTTGCTGCACTAGGTGCTAGTAAGGCTGCTGCCTTAGGTGCTAGCGAGTCTGCTCTCTCAGGTACTGCGCCTGCTGAGGCCTTGCACACCTTCACGCTTGACTCAGGTGCTTCCCGCTGTTTCTTTCGCGACAGTTGCGCACTCACGCCACTCCCTGCACCTGTTGCAGTGTCTCTGGCTGACCCCTCAGGGGGCTCATTTCTTGCACGGTCCTCCACTGTGCTTCCGTGCCCAGAAATTCCGTCTGGCTCACTGTCAGGTCTTCACCTCCCCTCGTTCTCCGTACGAATGGTGAGAACGCAGTCCTCCAGGATGCATGGGTTGATACCTTTACCCCTGGAGGATAGCGTATGGCGATCTGTACGTGCTCCCGGACTGGCCGTCACCTGGCCACGTTCCCCCGTCGGTCAAGGTCGAGTCTTTACACACTGACTACTACTGTCCCCTCAGGTAGCTGCCATTGGTCAGGTTTATGCGTCAGGTCAGGTAGCCTCCCTTTGTTCATGTCGCTCCTTGTCGCACCAGACTCTTCTCTGGCACCACCGCCTGGGTCACCCTTCCTTGCCACGTCTCCGTGGCATGCACTGTCGCATCCTAGTGTCTGGTCTTCCGAGGTCTCTCCCTCCCCTCCCTGTCTCCCTGCGTCGCCCTGTCTTCCTTGTGTCGAGGGCGGCAGCGTGCCGCTCCTCACTCCTCCTCGTTCCCCCGACAGAGGCTTCTCTGCAGACCCTCCACATGGACGTGTGGGGTCCAGCCCGCGTTTGTGGACAGGGCGGTGAGCAGTACTTTCTGCTGGTTGTCGACGACTACTCGCGTTACACCACGGTCTTACCCTTGCACACCAAAGGTGAGGTGCCTGCTGTCCTGATCCCTTGGATCCAAGCAGGTCGTCTTCAGCTCCGCCGGAGGTTCCGCAAGGACCTTCTTGTCCTACGTTTGCACTCTGTAGAGGTGGTGAGTTCACCTCCGACCTCTTGCGGGCCTTCTGTCAGGGGGAGGGCATCGAGCAATCGTTCACGCTTCCGGGCTCACCGCTGCAAAACGGGGTTGCTGAGCGCTGCATTGGCTTGGTCATGGAGATCGCGCGTACCTCCTTGATCCATGCGGCGGCTCCCCATTTTCTGTGGCGGTTTGCGGTCCGGTACGCCGCGCAGCAGCTCAACCTCTGGCCTCGTGTCTCCTTGCCGGAGACCTCGCCCACAACTGCGTTGGACAGGAGAGGTTGGCAATGTGTCGCGTTTCCGAGTCTGGGGTGCTCGTGCCCTTGTCCGCGATACGTCCACGGAGAAGCTCTCCTCCCGCACCATTCCCTGTGTCTTCATTGGCTTTGTCCCTGACGCGCCTGGCTGGCAGTTTTACCACCCCACCTCGCGCCGTGTCTTCCCCTCTCAGGACGTCACCTTTGACAATTCGGTTCCTTTCTACCATCTCTTCCCCTACCGCACTGCCCCTCTCCCTCCCCCGCCACTTTTCCTCACTCCAGGTTCCCCTCCAGTAGACCCCCTCCCCCTCAGGGTCCTACTTCTTTAAATGTGTCTCTGGTAGACCCACTCCCCTTGGCTGAGCCTGTAGAGGTTACTAGCGATTCAAGTGCTGCTGTGGGTGGTGTTGCTCGAGGTACTGCGTCTGGGGGTGCTGAGCCTGTGCGTGAGGTGCTGGGGGGTGCGGAGTCTGGGGGTGCTGAGCCTGCGAGTGCGGAGCCTGGGGGTGCTGAGCCTACGAGTGCGGAGCCTTGGGGTGCTGAGCCGGAGGGTGCCGGGTCTGGGGGTGTTGAGTCTGTGGGTCTCTTTTCACGACGGGGGTCTCTCTCACCACAGCAGCTATGAGAGTGGCTCGCGTGGCGTACCCGCCTGAGAAGTCGTGATGCTGTAGCTGGAGGTCCCGCTGCATCTACTGCAGCTCGAGGTGTTGCGGTTGGAGCTGGTGCAGCTGCTCGTCGTGGAGGCGCTGGGAGTGCTGGTGTTTCTGGCGGTGCTCGTACTGGAGGTACTGGAGCTGCCAAGTCGGTGGTAATGCTGGAGCTGGAGGTGCTGGTACTGCTGGCACTGAGGGTCCTGGAGGTGCTCGTCCTGGAGATACTCGAGCTGCCGGGGTCCGTGGTACTGGAGGTAGTGGAGCTGGAGACCCGCGCGTTGTAACTCGAGACCTTGGAGCTGGAGGTGCTGGCCCTCGAGGTGCTAGCCCCGGGGGTACGGAGTCTGTTGGTGCTGAGCCTAGGGGTGCTGAGTCTGTTGGAGGTCCTCCTGGCGCCGCGTCGCAGCGGTCGCCTCTCTCGCCGCAGCACCTGCGTGAGTGGCTTGCTTCGCGCACCCGCCTTCGGAGTCGCACTACTGGAGCTGGAGGCACTGCTGCTGGAGGTGCCGGAGCTGAAGGCACTGGAGCTGGAGGCGCTGGAGCTGGGACTCTGGAATTGGAGGTGCCGGTTCTGGGGGTGCTGCTGCTGGGGGCACTGGAGCTGGTTGCCCTAGAGCTGGTGCTGTCGACCCTCGAGTTGGAGACCCTGGAGCTGGAGGTGCCGGTTCTAGGGGTGCTGCTACTGGAGGCACTAGAGCTGGAGGCCCTAGAGCTGGTCTTGTCGACCCTCAAGTACGAGACCCTGGAGCAGGAGGTGCCGGTTTTGGGGGTGCTACTGCTGGAGGCCTTGGAGCTGGAGTTTCCGGAGTAGCTGGAGGCGCTGGAGCTGCTGGTGCTCGTCCTGGAGGTGCTGGAGCTACTGGAGCTTGTGGTGCTGCGGGCTTTGGAGCTGGAGGCGCTGGCGCTGGAGGCGCTGGAGCTGGAGGTACTGGAGTTGGAGGCGCTGGAGCTAGAGGCGTTGGAGCTAGTGGTACTAGTGCTGGTGGTACTACACAGCTGTGACAAATCTTCGCTCCGCTATCACTGTCGTCTCTGCCACCGCCTGATACCGCGCTTCGCCAGGTTCTTAGCCTCCCGTCTTCTACTGGTATCCCGTTACAGCCAGGCTCTCCACTGCCTACTCCTTCTCCTTACACTGAGCAGACAGACTCGCTTACAGAGCATCGTGAGCCTCCGACTCGTCCTGCCTCGCCTGTTCGCGCGCGTCGCACTGGTAGTCATGTTCCGCGTGAGCGTCCCCCCTCCTGTCCCTGGCACGCACGCTATGGCACTTCATCCTTCCTCTGTTCCACAGCATGTTCCCTTGCCGTCTCCTCTCTGCCTGACGTTCAGGACCCTGAGTCTGACATGGCTCGTGCTGCTCACCCTACTGTCACGCGTCTGCTAGCCACTGTTGTCACTGACCCTTCTTTTGAGTCTGCTGCTGCATCTGCCTTAGTCTCTGAGCTTGTTGACTTTGCTGCTGCCTGCCGTCTAGACTTCGCTACTAGTCTTGTTGCTAAGTCTCAGTCTGTCTGTCCTCCGTCCGTCAGGGGTGAGTGTGCTCTTGGCACGGACGTCCTTGAGGATAGGCAGGAGGACTTTGAGTGTCTTGCAGCCGCTGCACCTCATCTCGTGGCCATGCTGCTTGCCCCTGAGGGAGACCCGAATGCTCCAGACATCCTGACCCCGCGCTCTTACGCTGAGGCGATCGTGGGTGAGCACTCCTCTCAGTGCCAGATATCCATGGACGCAGAGATGGCATCCTGGAAGTCCACCGGCACTTACGTCGACGCTGTTCCCCCTCCTGGGGCGAACGTAGTCGATGGCATGTGGATTTTCAAGGTGAAGTGGCCGTTGGGTTCTCTGCCTGGCTTCAAGGCTCGTTACGTTGCACGAGGATTCAGTCAGCGACAGGGAGTTCTTCCAGACCTTCTCCCCCACCCGAAGATGACCACTCTTCGGTACTGCTGCACGTCGCCGCTCGGCGTGACTACGAGCTTAACTCTCTCGACTTCAGCACAGTGCTCTTACAAGGCAGTCTGCACGAGGAGACCACCTGCGCCGCCCACCTGGCTTCACTGGGTCGTTCTCTCCTAGTACCCAGTGGATCTCCGCCGGCCAGTCTATGGTCTCCGTCAGGCATGACACACTGAGGCGACACTTGCGGCTCTTGGGTTTGCACCTTCCACTGCTAAACCGTCGCTGTTTCTGCGCACCGACACTTCGTTGACACTGCGCACGCGACAGTTCGTTGTTCGCACTGACACTAAGGCTCTCGCCCACGTGAAGTCGGAGCTGCAGAAGAGACACACGTGCACAGACCTGGGTGAGCTGCACAACTACCTTGGCCTGCAGATCACCCGGGACAGAGAACGGCGCACCATCACACTGACTCGGTCACACATGGTGCAGCAGGTCCTTCAGCATTTCAGCTTCACTTGGTCCTCGCCACAGTCCACTCCTCTTGCTGCCGGTCACTCGCTCTCAGCTCCACCTTCGGACAAGTCCGTAGAGCCGAGTGGCCCGTACCCAGAGCTAGTGGGCTGCCTCATGTACCTGATGACCTGCACTCGTCCTGACCTCGCGTACCCTCTTGGCCTTCTGGCACGCTACGTGGCTCTCGGTAGGCACCGAAAGGTGCACTGGGATGCTGCGAAGAGGGTACTGCGCTACTTGTGCAGTAAATAGGGCATGGGGCTCGTGCTTGGAGGGTGGAGCTCAGTTGTCCTCACTGGGCACTTAGACGCTTCTTGGTTTGACGACCTGGCTACGCAGCAGTTGCCAGAGGGATACACGTTCAGCCTTGGCTCTGGCTCCGTTTCTGGGGGTCTACACGCTCGTCTTCTGTTCTCCGCTCCAGTTGTGAGGCTGAGATCTACGCCACAGCCATGGCTGTACAAGAGCTATGCTGGCTCACCTACATGCTGACCGACTTGGGAGAGAGGCCTCGTTCTCCTCTAGTTCTGTTCTCCGCAGGAAAGTACCTGCGGAACTTTCCTTGTGATTTCCTGCGGTGTAGCGGTAAGGCGTGGAGATGGTGATCGGGGTGAGTTCGAAGCGTTTGGCGATAGTGTCGGCATATTTCGCGGCGTTGAGGTAGATCGCACCTTCTTCTTCCTGGATGTTGAGGGTGGGATACTGCGTGACGGTAGATGACACTGTGAGAGTGAGGTCCTGCTGCAGTTCTCCTTCAAACCAAGTAGTGACGCTGTCAGTCGAGCCGATGTAGAGCAGGTTGTCCACGTAGACGATCAGTAGGATGTAGTCGTCACCTTTCGTGAGCCGATACATGCCCTGGTCGTGTGGTAGCTGTCGGAATCCGATGCGGACGAGTCGAGCATGTAGATACTGCTGCCACAGCCTTGTGGCCTGTTTAATACCGTACAAGGATTTCAGCAGCTGACAGACTTGGTTAGGCTCTCCGTGGAGCCGTGTGGAAGTTCGACGAAGATTTCGGCGTCAACAGGTGCGTAGAGGAATGCGTTGGCGACGTCAATTTGCCGCAGTTTCTTCTTCTTCATGGCGGCGATCGCGAGGAGAATTCGAAGTGAGGTGTGTCGGCTGACCGGGGGCGAATGTCTCGGTGAAGTCGTGTCTGTGCTCTTGGTCGAAGCCGCGTACGATCCTGCGCTTTAAACTTGTCGATGGTGCCGTCTGCCTTTGTCTTCACACGGAAGACCCATTTCCTGGTGACTATTGTCTTGTTTCGTGCCACGCTGATGGGAACGACTTTCCAGGTGTTCCGTTCTTCCAGTGCTTTCAGCTACTTGTCCATGGCTTCGCGCCATTTTTCCTTATGCTCCCCCCCAGAGCCTGCTGAACTGTGGCAGGCTCCTTAGGAATCTCCGTGCCGTGGACCGCGGTGACGAGGCCGAGTATATGGAAGCAACTCTGTGTCTAGCGGGGGAGTGTTGTGTCCTCGGGATAAGCTGCTTCGTCACCTGCTTCTGGGTCAGGTATGAAGTTGGGCCCTATGAGTTCTGCTTCGTTTGTGTTGACTTCTCCAGGTGTAATGTAACCATTGTCAGAGAAGTGGTAAAATACTTCGGCGTTGGCGCTTTCGCGAGGATTTTCGTCATCCATTGGGACGTCAACGGAGCAGTAAGGGAGAGGTCCGGCTTCCTCCGAGGCTTCATCCACGTTCTGCTCGTCCCAGTCAGCTTCGTTTGCTGCCAAGGCGAAGGCTCGGTCACCACGGAAACCACCTGTGTGTGAGAATGAGAACGAGAATGAATGAACTATGAATGAAGTGAGTACAAATATGAAACCCTAATTGGTTGTACCCCCTATGGGATACCCCACTATAGCCTACACAACAGCATAAGCTATAATGTTCTGACACACCCCCATAGGCAAAGTGGGGGAGAACAAGGGTCACAAGACCAGTCAAGCAAAGCAAAGCAAAGCTCAGGGTGGATCACAAAGTCACCACACATTCCGAGCACAAGTTCAAAGCCACAAGGCCAGTTCACATGCAGATCATATATAGAGATATACAAGAGTCAAGCAAGCAAGACTATATATAGGTGAAGGTACAAGTAAGGTCAAGAAGTAAGCAAGTGAGGCAAGACAGACACAAGACCCAGCTGCGTGCAGCAACGCTGATGATCACAAGGCGCAAGTGCCTTGGTGAAGACATCAGCAGTGTTGGCCTCAGAGGCCACGTACGCAAGCCGCAACTGTCCACGCTGCTGTAGCTCACGAGCAAGAAAGTAGCGGAGAGCAATGTGCTTTGTCCTGTGCTCCAGTCGCTGCTCTCGACGACACAAGGCCAGCATGGCCTTGTTGTCTACGTGCAGGACTGGAGGAGAACGAGGCGGCTCTCCAAGGTCGTCGGTCAGCAGGTAGGTGAGCCAGTGAAGCTCCTGGGCAGCCATAGCCCCGGCGTAGATCTCAGCCTCACAACTGGAGCCGAGAACAGAAGACGAGCGGGTAGCCCGCCACGAAACAGAGCCGGAACCAAGACTGAAGGTGTAACCGTGTGACGACCGCTGCGTAGCCTGGTCGTCAGCCCAAAGAAGCGTCCGCGTGCCCAGTGAGGACCACTGGACTCCGCCCCCAAGCACTAGCCCCATGCCCGACGTACTGCACAAGTAGCGCAACACCCCTCTTCGCTGCAGCCATGTGCTCTGGTCGGTGTCTCCCAGGAGCAACATAGCGTGCGAGAATGCTAAGAGGGTATGCAAGGTCAGGTCGTGTGCAGGTCATCAGGTACATGAGGCAGCCAACAAGCTCTGCATACAGGCCACTCGACTCTACGGACTCATCCGAAGGCAGAGCTGAGAGCGAGTGGCGAGTAGGCAGAGGAGTGGCCTGAGGCGAGGAGTACGTGAAGCCAAAGCGCTGAAGGACCTGCTGCACCATGTGTGACTGAGTCAGGGTAATGGTGCGGTGTGCTCTATCCTGGGTGATCTGCAAGCCAAGGTAGCTGCGCAGTTCACCCAAGTCAGTGCACGTGTGTCTCTTCTGCAGCTCGGACTTCACGTAGGCGAGTCCAGCAGTGTCAGCTGTGGCAAAGACCAAGTCGTCGACGTACACGAGGATGTAGAACGGCGGCAGAGAGGTGTCGGTGCGCAGAAACAGCGACGGGTCGGCAGTAGAAGGAGCAAACCCAAGTGCCGCCAGCGTAGTCCTCAGTGTGTCGTGCCACTCACGTGGCGCCTGGCGGAGACCGTAGACTGGACGCCGGAGACTCCACTGGGTACCAGGAGGGAAAGACCCAGTGAAGCCAGGTGGGCGACGCAGCCAGATCTCCTCGTGCAGGCTGCCCTGCAAGAAAGCTGTGCTGAAGTCGAGAGAGTGCAGCTCGTAGTCGCGGTGAGCAGCAACGTGCAGCAGTACCCGAAGAGTAGTCATCTTCGGGGTGGGGGAGAAGGTCTGAAAGTAGTCAACTCCCTGTCGCTGACTGAAGCCACGAGCCACGTAACGCGCCTTGGAGACAGGCGGAGAACCCGGCGGCCGCTTCACCCTGAAGATCCACATGCCACTGACGATGTTCGCCCCAGGAGGGGGGACAGCATCAACGTAGGTGCCTGTGGACTTCCAGGAAGCCATCTCTGCATCCATAGCTGCCTGCCACTGAGAGGAGTAGGGACCCTCTATCGCCTCCGCGTAAGAGCGCGGAGTCAGGATGTCAAGTGCATCCGGGTCTCCCTCAGGGGTAAGCAGTACGGACAAGAGATGCGGTGAAGCGGCTGCCAGGCACTGGAACTCCTCCTACCTGTCCTCGAGGACGTCTGTGCCAAGGGCACACTCACCCCCGACGGGCGGAGGACAGACAGACTCAGACTCATCGACAAGACTAGCAGCGTAGTCTAAGCGAAAGCGAGCAGCAAAGTCGACGAGCTCAGTAACAAGGGCAGACGCAGCAGAAGACTCGAAAGAAGGGTCAGTGACGACAGTAGCAAGGAAACGCGTGACAGTAGGGTGGCAGCACGAAGAGAGTCCGACTCCGGGTCGGCAAGAGCAGGAAGAGAGGACTCAGGAGGAGAAGGCAAACGGGCACGCAGAGAGGAGCAGTAGACGGACGCAGTGACATCCGGTGCGTGCCAGGGACAGGAGAGGACGCTGACGCGAACTTGCGACCACTAGCGCGGCAGTACGAACAGGCGCACAGACGAGACGCAGGCTCACGACGCTCAGTAAGACCTTTAGTAGGACCAGCGTAGGGAGAAGGAGCAGGTAAGGGGAGGCAAGCTGTAGCTGTGACTGCGATGGGACAGTCTGTGGAACCTCTAAGGGAGGAGGAGGACGAGTAGAAGGTGGAGCGACCAAGAACCTGCTGCAGGAGTGGAACGAAGTACGGTCGCTGCTGCGCGGCGACGCCAGACACAGTAGGGACAGCACGAGTACCCCCAGCAGGAGTATCCGCTCCCAGCAGCACCTCCAGCAGCTCCCAAACCTCCAGCAGCACCAGGAGCACCCCCAGCAGG